AGCTGGAAGAGCTGATGATGCTGGGAGATCTGCTGGAGGTGTCCCTGGATGAGACCCAGCACATCTGGAGGATCCTGCAGGCCACGCATCCCCCCTCTGAGGAGAGATTCCTGCAAGTCATGGAGGTAGGGAGGTCATCCATTACTGTATGCAACCTGGTGGCGCACCTGGGCCCCACGGCAAATGCTGCGTAGCGACTAAACATCGGGTTTGGGTTTGAATCAATAGCTCTGGTTGGTTGTGATGAGGAGTTTTGAGATTAGATGCAGGTCAATTTAGAATTGGAAATAGCTATCTCATTTAGTCTTTCCTTCCTTTCCTGCAGCCTGACGACTCTCTGATGGAGAAGCCTCTGAAGCTCAAGCTTAAAGATTCGGAGAAGAAGAGGAAACGGAAGCTGGAAAGAGCCGAGCACCACCACATGCTGATGGCTGCCGCCGCCGCCGCCGGCGGAGTTTCAGCGATGGGCGAAATAAGACCAGCCAAGTCCAAAGAGCTGAAAAGGGTCGGTCTGGAACTGGGCCTCGGGGGCAAACCCAAGAAGAAGAAACTGAAGCTCAACCTCGACAAGAACCGGGAGATGAAGCAGCTGGCCAAACGGTTAGCCAAGGAGGAGAAGGAGAGGAAGAGAAAGGAGAAGGCTGCGGCCAAGGCAGAGTCCGTCAGGGAAGGGGTGGAGAAGAGGAAGGAGAAGAAGATTCTCGACATTCCCTCCAAGTATGACTGGTCCGGGGCCGAGGACTCCAACGACGAGAACGCCGTGTGCGCAGCCAAGAACTGCCAGCGACCCTGCAAAGATAAGGTGAGTGTTCTTCACTGCTTTTGAAAAATACTCCGACTAAAACGTTGGGGATTTGATATAGAAATGTCTTCTTCCCACAAATATAAGTCTGAGTCTCAGTACTTGAGATTGTGTTGACATCACGTTGCAGTGAAAGAGGCACAATCGTAGATGAGTGATAGCTACAGTTTAGCAATTAACAGAGGTCAAAGGGGACCATGTGACCGTGCGCCGTTTTAAGACTAAGTTCTCTATGTTTCAAATAATGTTTTGAATATTCATCAAAATCTATGTATTTACTAATATGGACTATATCTGGGTGATAACTGTCACAATGTAAAAGAGTCCACTCAGTGAGGTCCTGTTGAGTCCAGAACTGCTGCAACTAAGTATTCTATCAATGGTTGTGTAATCCTCCCAATTATGTTCTTTAAAAAAGGTCAGAAAGGAAAAATGCCGATCACAGTTTTCCAAGTTTGCAAGATGATGTCTCCAAATGTCTTATTTTGTAGTTAGTTTTTTCTTCACAAGTTTGCTCTATTTTCACAGGTCCAATATTTTTCTTTTTTCTTTTTTTATGCCTCCGCAGTGTTATGTTTTCGGGTTGTCCCTCAGTCTGTACCATTCTCATCAACGCGATGTCTCAGAACCGGCTTTACAGAATTTCTTCAAATTTCGTACAAACTTCTCCCGTCAAAAGCAGACTGACTGACTGAATGAAGTTAGGACTTGAAGCCGTGTTAACATGTAGCTCGCCTCCAACTCTGCGACGCTGTTGGAGGACCATGATGTTCTTTTCGTCAGTTAGACCATTCTTGACCCTCCGCAGTAACGTGGCAGTAAATTCTGGTTCGACCACTTTCATCGCAGGAAGTTCCTCAGAAGTCAGTTTGTTTGCTGAGTTAATAACAAACGCTTCTCAAAAATGAGCATCATGGAACTTGAATATCAACAGCTGATAACAGCACTGGAACACCTTAAAGAGAGTTACACATAACGTATTAACAGGTCACACGGATGTGGTCCTCTTTTCGGAGACGGCCTCGACCGACCGCGACTGTCCGCCGAGTTAACCAGTGGCCAGTCGCCAACCCCGGTGTGTCCGACAGGGCAGCCAATCAGGAGCCGAGGAACCGGTGGGCTCACAGCTCAGTGGGTGGAGTTTGGGAGATGAAATTAGGATGGCCGAAGGTGGGGTGATTAACGTTTGTGTGTCGAGATGGAGATTGAGTATTTCCTCATCTGTTTCCATCTCACAATCAAAAAGTATGTGACTCTTAGTTTTTAAATGAGGTCCACTTATTTAGTAGTGGCTTTATTAAATCTATACCAGACAGAGGAGGAGATGAAAAATGATTTTTGACGGGCCTTAGAGGTGTGTAAAACACAAGACCATTTACAGACCATCAGTATTTTGCCAGTTTTCTTTCAGCTCTGTTTTTCAGTACATTAGCTCAAATACAAACACCGACTGACTTGTATCTTTAACACATGCTGTTAAACATTACAGTAGGCTGTTCTTCCCGAATTTTGTGTTTTGCTTGATAAACCACAGCCACGTGTTTTCTTTTTTTTTTGGTCGTCGTTGGTATCTTTCCCTCACGTGTCCCTCACCTGTCTGCCCATGCGTTCCCCAGGTGGACTGGGTGCAGTGCGACGGCGGCTGCGACGAGTGGTTCCACCAGGTGTGCGTGGGCGTGTCGTGCGAAATGGCCGAGAACGAGGACTACATCTGCGTGGACTGCTCCGGGAAGGCCACCGGCGGAGGCGGAGGGATGACCGTGGAGGAGGTGGCGGAGGAGGAGGAGGAGGAGGAGAGCGTCGTGGTGCTGTCCACGTCTATGTGCAGCGTGCAGAGTCTGCCGTCGCCGTCCGTCGTGGCGTCGTGGTCTCACGTCGCCTCCGCCTCTCATCTAAACCCAGCAGCCTCACATCAGCAGCAGCAGCAGCAAGAGCCTCAGCAAGGCAGTTAGCACTTACACAAAAAAAAAAACAGCCTAGGACTGAGTTTCAAAACTGTACCTCACACAATGAGCATAACACAAGACCTAGTGCCCAGGCTAGTGTTTCAGCCTCTCAACCTGTAAAACAATAGCCCTTTGTGAATGAATCTGAAAGGAGGAGGGACAAAACAGAGGTGTTTCTGCGACCACCTTGATTATAGAGCACAAAAAAGAAGAGAACTCACATCTGGAACTCAAAGAGGAGAGTCCTGCAGTCACCGTGTGGCTTCAGCAAATGTTCTCTCTCTCCAAGCACCGAGATCTGGTGAAACGGTTGTTAGTACACACGCAAGACTTAGTCCTCCCACGACAGTTTGAAGTCTAGAAGCGTCCACCAGCTACTTCCTGGTCTTCCCCTGGACAATAACGTGCCATTGGTGCACTTAATTCAAGTCAAACACCCACTTACTCCAGCTGTTGTATTCAGTGCAAACGGGCAAATAAACAAAATGTGTCCCCGGTCGTGTTTTACTGGACGCCCTGAGCCGCTCCCCCTCTGCCCTCTGTGTGGCCCTTCAGTCAGTAACATCTCAATATGTAGGACTCCAGACTAGGAAAAACACAAATGGTTGTAATGTAGTGGAATTATTTATAATGTACATACTTTTAAGCAATTAAGCAAATGGATTGTGGCTTTTTTTGTTTTGTTTTCTCACCTTTAATAAACTATTCCTAGTCAAATGATTGATGATTGTGATGTTTTTTTTCTTTGTGTTAATTTATGGTCAGAATGTTTTTATAAATTTGTTTCTTCTTTCTGAACATATTGTTGAATGTCATATATATTCTTATTTTAGTCTTGGAAAAGAAACGGAGAGAGGACAGGACAACACATCGTGCAAACAAATCAAAAGTACAATTTAAAAGTGCAATGTTATGGACGTATCGGTCAAGATTTAAGACGAGCAAGAAGTCTAGCTCTTGTGTCTCTGGCTGAAGTGTCAGTACGATTGCTGGGTCAAATTCTGAGGGCTCAACAGTGATTTATGGCCGTGCCATTGAGAGGTTGGTTTCAAGTTGTAAGTTCATCTTCACATTTCCTGTGTTACTCGTTAGGCTCAATTAGAGGAGACGTGTGTTGACGTGTTGTGGAGCTCTGGCATAACGATTTCCTTAAAGAATGTGCTTTTTTTTTCGTGTTGCATTTCTTTGTCCCCTCAGTTATAAGCAGTGTCAAATGTGCATCTTGTGTAAAACAAATTCATTTATAGATTATCTTTTTTGGGGGGGGGGTTTTGTTTTGGGAAGGGAGCAGGGGAGGATTGTGTGTGTGTGTGTGTGTGTGTGTGTGTGTGTGTGTGTGTGTGGGGGGGGGGGGGGTGCTGCTGCTGTCACTTCTAACTCGGCCGAGTCAAATCCGGTGCGAACTGACCCGAGCTGCTTCGCTCACCTCTGCCACTGTGCTGACTGGGAGAGTTGGCGCTGCGAGGCATCAACGACACAAACAGTAATGGTACATAATTGATTGCATAACGTCTGCTCTGTCATCTCGTACCACCACATCCCCATCGCCCGCTGTTTGTTGTGTTCACTCTGCCTGTGAGTGGAATGTCAGACTTGAGACTAGTTTCTCAACGGTCACAAAAGCCTTTTTGTAATCATCACTTGATATCGTATTCTAGTTTCTGTGATTTGTTTTTTTTTCCTGTTCATGGCTTCCCTTCATCCATCAGCCAGGGAGCAATACTGTTGTGTAAATTCAGCAGCATGGCATACAGATATACATTTTTGCCAGACTCGTACATGAGCTCCTTTCTTAAAATACTTTAATTTATAATTAATTGATTTCTAATTCAACTGGAAAAACCTTAACCTCGCACATGAAATTGGGATTAACTGCGTTGCAGACAGGAAATGAATGGAACCCAAAATCTAAACCATATTATTCCCGTGCTTCTCTTTTCTGAACGCATACAATAGGATGTGTGATTTATATTATTTAAATGCCTGATTCATTTTTGTTGTTGTTAAATAATACAGCTTCTGCAGCAGAAAGTGGTCCACTGCTGCGGACATCGACACTGTACAGACTGCTCCGGTGTCATCCTGTGGTGCACCTTATTTTAAGCATGGAGTCACGACAGGTGATGTGCTTTGCTCTGAAAGGGGCAGACGAGGGCAAAGGAGGGAAGGAAGAAAGAGGGCTGGCCTCAGTTTAGCATTACAACCCCCCGCCCCTCACTCCAGTGCGGTTAAGTTCCTAAAACCTGAGCATTTACTGATAAACCTCCAGAGACCGCTCCAGCCCTGAGACTAGAGCCACACACAGGAGATCAAGTGACACTGCAATGAAAGGTAAGCTGTAAATGCATTTTACAAATTGACTATCTCGAGATTTTCAGTTCAATTAAGATTGGTAAATTCTTTTGTTAGTTTAAGGCACGGATAAGAATTGCATTGCAATAAATCTCTTGAGCTAAAAAGCAGAGCATGCATGCTCCTTTTCTTCAATGACATGCTTCACATCTATCCAATTGCACACACAGATCTTATATATGTAGAGTAAAACGACATTATTCCACTGCATCTGGAGCTGTTTCGTGTCTTAGGTGCCTTGCTTTGGGACATCTTGACCATTACTGAGTAGAGGGAAAACAATCGTCACCGACCGGGCTCTATAACCTGCTGTTGTCCTGCTCTTTTTCCTCTCTTGTCTGTTTTGTAGGTGACGCTGCCAAAGCATGCGCCCCAAATGGCATCAGCCAAGCCAAGGACCAGACGCCCCCCTCGGAGGAGAAGATGGAGGAGCGGGGCCAGTGGGCCAATAAGATGGAGTTTATTTTGTCCGTCGCCGGCTCCATCATCGGCCTGGGCAACATGTGGCGCTTCCCGTACCTCTGCTACAAGAATGGAGGAGGTGAGTGGACGGAGGAAGGAGATGTGCAAATGGGGCTTACATACTTTATCTCAGACTTATGCTGAAATAATTATATTTCAATATTGCTCCAGAGCACTTTTACTGTCAACCATGCAGTTATTTTTGTACATGCACTAAATTAGTGGACGATTCAAGATAGCTGACGTGAAATTGAGAGTGTGCAAAACCCCTGAGGACCCTTTTCAGAATCTGTCAATCAAAATCTAACCTTAGACTCACTCGAGCTCAGGTGAAAGACGTAAAAACATATATATATATATTCAAGGTCTCACACTTAACCACCTCAGACCCCATCGGCCATGCTTGTGTAGGTGCTTAATCCGACGCCCCTCTTCATCCCTCCATGGGGCGACAGGGTCAGGGTTCAGGGCCCAAGCAGGGTCAGGCAGCTGTTGTTGCTCCGTGCTCACAGCAGCTGTCCCCGCAGAGAGGCGGAAATCTGAGCACGCCAAACATCCTCGGTCGCCCGACGGGACGTCGCCACAAAATGCCAATTAAAGAACTTTTCTCCATGTCCCCTTGCTGTGCTCCGTGCCTTTTTAATGCTTGGTCTTATTAAGAGTTATAATACAGCTTCAGTTTGTTCAGGCATGTATTCTTTCATATAGTTGGGAACATCATTAACTCTTGGACATGAAATACTACATCATCTAGGCTTGAGCTTCTGGCTTGTGGTTCTTAAAGGTTACACCGTTTACTTTTGTATTTTAGGTCCGTTCAAACCAGGTTAATCCGGTGATCTGTTCATCAGGTACAGGAAAAACAATCATGTAGGTAATATGTAATTAGTAATAGCAAATCCAAGAATGAAAGAGAGGGGTCATTATTATGTAATCTTGTACAGTTTCCTTAAGATTAGCATTTTTCTGCAGGACACTCGGGACTCAACATGGGCTTTTGGACCATTTGTCCTTATTCGAGCAAACTGACTGTGACTTTTGGAGCTGCAGTCTGGATTTGGGTCCACATTTGTTGCAGTAGAAGAAGGCCCTGGGTTACGTTAACCCTAAATCCTTTGCTCTTTTTCTGAACTCAGGTGCGTTCTTCATCCCCTACTTGATCTTCCTGTTCACCTGCGGCGTCCCCGTCTTCTTCTTGGAGGTAGCCCTGGGCCAGTACACCAGCGAGGGAGGCATTACCTGCTGGAGGAAAATCAGTCCGTTGTTTGAAGGTAGGTTGGACACACAGGGATCCTGGCAAAGCATACACACACTTTAGCAAATGTTATGAAGCCATGATGCTAAAACCTGAAAAATGGAATTCTGAAGTGGAAGAAGAAAATGTGCAGATTTTATTATACAGTTACTGAATATTTGTATTGATTATTCTGCAGGTCTTGGCTATGGCACCCAGGTGATAGTGACTCTGTTGAACTTCTACTACATCGTTGTTCTTGCCTGGGCCATTTTCTACCTGTACTACTCCTTCTCCTGGGACCTGGCCTGGTCGCACTGCAACAACACCTGGAACACAGGTAACAAGAACACTTTAAAATACACGAGGAGCTCCACCAATGTTGTTGATATGTTTAAGAATTACAACATTTTGCTCTCCCCCCCCACCCCAAGAAAACTGTGTGGGGCTACATAGGAGAAACACCTCAATTGAACAAACAACCAACCCAAATGCCACCTCTCCCGTCATCGAGTTCTGGGAGTGAGTTTTCACAGCGCCTCGCCTCCTCTTGGTTGATACCTCACTGTTGTGAAAGCGACAGCGATGCATCGACTCAGTGCTTCTTTTCTTGTCTCTGCAGGAAAAGAGTGCTGAGGATTTCCCCGGGCATCGACCACATGGGCGGTATGAACTGGGACCTGGCCCTGTGTCTGTTCATCGCCTGGGTCATGTGCTACTTCTGTATCTGGAAGGGGGTGAAATCCACAGGAAAGGTGGGTGACCTGGTGACCCTTTTTATTGATTAATTGATTTGACCAGAGACAGCTCTCAGACACTTTAAGGATGACATCTGGTATTCATTTTTTCTATTTGGCATGTCTCTGTATTTAGCGTTTCCAGCCCCCCCGTCCCGCGACCCCGGATGGATGAATGTTTCTTTATTTGTTTGCATTCTTATCAACGTCGTATGTGTGTGTCTGTATAGGTGGTCTACTTCACCGCAACCTTCCCCTATCTGATGCTGATCGTGTTGTTGGTCAGAGGGCTAACCCTGCCTGGTGCTGCGATCGGCATCCAGTTCTACCTTTATCCAGACCTGGGACGCCTGGCAGACCCACAGGTACCACGATGCCACACAGACGGCTTACAGATGAAAGCCTAAATGCAGATCCACATTCACCACCATTACAACAAACAACTAATTCCCTAAGAGGGCCTTTAGAAGATGTGGTGATCCCTGTGGGCGAGGGGCGCACCACGTGTAGGTATCCCATGGTTCTCTGCTAGGGAGCCTAGTTTCTGCTGGGTCCATCTGCTCTCCATGAAAGAGGCAGACACGGCAGGGCTTGAATGCAGGGTCAGGACACCACTAGGAGTGTAAACACCAGCTCTACCAGGACTGAGGCCCAGTCAGCTAACCAGGCTTAACTGGCTCTGTGCTCGACCGCAATCAGAAGATTTTTTGCAGAGTCCCCAAAATATTTTACGTGTCTCTTTTTGTTTGATTCTGCTTATATTGTGTCGTCTTATTCCTGTTTAGTCGCATGCTAGTTTGCCACAAAACTGAACCAAACAAAGTAGAGTAAACACACAAAACTAATAATTCAACCTGCCATTTCCTTCTCTCTCTATCTCCTGATTGTTTGTGGTTCTTCATTCCCTTTGCTATTTTATAGTCATTTTTTTGTTTCCGATAAGGGACGAGTCTTTACTTGTCTATTCGTTACAGATCTTGCACTCTCTGTATTTGTGGAAGCTTGGGTCCTAAATCAATGTCGAGACAAACCAGACCAATTACAGACGTGTGACAGTTTACTGTTGTGCAACTACATGAGTCAATGATTATGAACGCCAACATGCCAGCACGTGAATTCCTATGGATTATCTAACCACACATGGAACGCACATGTTTGTAAGTCGACCTAAGTAATGTATTTTGTCTCTTGTGTAAGGTGTGGATGGATGCTGGCACCCAGATCTTCTTCTCCTACGCCATCTGCTTAGGGTCACTGACTGCTCTGGGAAGCTACAACAAATACAACAATAACTGTTACAGGTAGGTAAATATAATGTAGATGCATGCATGCTCAAATGAACAAGAATTCCTTCCTCATTTCTCATTTTGAAACAAAAAAATCAACTTCATCATCAGGTGTGATTTATGTGATCAGCTGTGTTGATCTGAAGCTTAACGATGCTGAAATGAATCTCCTCTGTTCCATCACAATGAAACATGTGCTGTCTGTTGCAGGGATTGCATTGCGTTGTGCTTTCTGAACAGTGCCACCAGTTTTGTGGCGGGCTTTGCGATCTTCTCCATCCTGGGTTTCATGTCCTATGAGCAGAATGTTCACATCTCAGAAGTGGCAGAATCTGGTGAGGCTCTTCCTCCCATTGCATTCAAAAACGCTCCGAGGAAAAAAAAGGAATAGCAATAGAGTAGCAAAATAATCTGTTTATAAATCCTCCTGTAGGTCCTGGCCTGGCCTTCATAGCTTACCCCCGCGCTGTGAGCATGATGCCTTTCTCTCCCCTGTGGGCCGCCCTCTTCTTCATCATGATCGTCTTTCTGGGGCTTGACAGTCAGGTACGTACCTCCAAGTTAATTAACACTTCCTTTTAATTATTTGAATTATTTGAATTACTGTTGGCTCGGAGACTTAAATGTCACGTGGTGTTAACTGAGCCAGGAAGGAAGTCTTCCCTTCATCATAGCTGACAAACAAAAAAAGGTTTAATTTATTGATCAGTGCTCACCTCTCTCCCCCTCGTCCCCTCACACCTCTCTCCCCTCCTTCCCATCAGTTTGTGTGTGTCGAGAGTCTCGTGACGGCGATAGTCGACATGTACCCCGCCGTGTTCAGACGTAAAAAACGCAGGGAGCTCTTCCTGTTAGGTGTGGTCTTCGTCTCCTTCTTCATGGGCTTCATCATGCTGATGGAGGTAGGGGGGTCACACACAGAGATCCATGCACACAGGCAAACATCTGCAGGCATCAAGATATTTTTTTACTGACATGTTTAAGTCCTAATTATTCAGTAAAGCTAACAATATTCTTTTAAATGTAACATTGCAATGCTTAAGGTGTTTTCCCTCATCATATCACCTGATGGTTGTTTAGGGGTAAACCAGCACAGGATGCCTTGTTCTGCTGAAATACGCTCTTACATAGTTCAACCTAGTTGACATGGTTTCACCTCTGCACAGCTGGAAACATGAATGCTCTGCAGAGGTGTCAACAGGTCATCATTTTGTAAGTACAAGCAAGTCACAGGTTTGGTGCAACGAGTCTCAGGTAAGTCTCAGCATGTCAGAAGTCTCCAGTTTTTGGGCTTCGGTGTTTCAAATCTCAATCGCAAACGTGTACATCTTTAAATATCAACAGCAGGAGAGTAGATTTATCTGGAGGCTGATATGCATTTTTATACAGAAACAAAATGTATTGCTCGGTGCTTTGATTGATTCCCTGACACCATCATGTCGCGTTGTCTCACCAAGTGTGTCCAGTACGTCTGTACTGACAATGCGTAACAATTAAGACAACACAGACATTCCAAGAAAAAAAACACCTGCAAGTCAACAAGCAAATAAAAATATATTGCTGGAAATAATAAGTCCAAGATCTTTCTAGAATGGTGACACAGGCAATTTCATCTGATTTCAGTTTATTTCCTGTTTATATTTCTGGCTTAAGGTAGATGTGTTCATATGAAGAGCATTAATTAAACTTCTATTCTAGTGTCATTTCCATTGTGTCTTGAATTTAAATGAATTGTAGCATGGAAGTTTTCCAGATATAACTTTGACTCAGTGCTTCATATCTCTATCTTTGTAGGGAGGCATGTATGTTTTCCAGCTCTTTGATTACTATGCAGCCAGTGGCATGTGTCTTCTCTTCATGTCCATCTTTGAAACCGTCTGCATTGCATGGGTCTATGGTAAGCTGTCCTCAAAACATAAAAGGCTGTCTTTTAATGGTGTAAATGGAAGAAAAAAAAAACATGTCTCATGAGTGTTTTCCGGTGTACATGCTGTGGAATAATTGTCCTGATTACTGTCAACATAGATAGAAATGTCTTTACTGTGTTTTTCCAGGTGCAGACCGCTTTTACGATAACATTGAGGACATGATTGGCTACCGTCCAGGATGTTACTTCAAGTACTGTTGGTTGTTCCTCACCCCGGCCACGTGCATTGTGAGTATCAACAAACTAATTAAGTAGTATCAAGGCTTTCCAAAAATGACAAAGGCGGACAGCAACTGAGGCCTCCTCTCCTCTCCTCTCCTCTCCTCTCCTCTCCCCTTGTAGACATGAAAACAAATCAGTTCTTCCTTCTTCATCAATAGTCATGCATGTCTAATTGTCTCTCCAGGGTACTTTTGCCTTCTCTCTCATCAAATACACCCCTCTAAAGTACAACAACGAGTATGTGTACCCTTGGTGGGGTTATGCCATTGGCTGGCTGCTTGCTCTCGCCTCCATGGTCTGCATTCCACTTTGGATGGTGTACAAGATCAGCACCACCCAAGGGACGTTCAGAGAGGTACCATTTGATTCTGTTTCAAGTTGTTCAGTTAGCTGGGGGCTGTTATCAGATACATGTTATCTCACCCCTGCTAACCATGGATGATGTGTTTAAATTATTAAAGGATTTGTGTGCCAGTCTTGGTCTTAAATCAGACGTCCTGTGAACTTCTCCCTAACCCCGTCTGAACTTTGACTTGACTTGAACGTATCCCATTTGGGAATTTTTTCCAAAAAAGACTCAAGCTCCTTCACACTGGTTTTACCTTTCTACAGCGCATCCAGCTGCTCATCACACCATCGGACGCCTTACCCAAAACCAAGAGGGAGCAGGAAAACTTACTGGCCATCTTTGCTCCGGAGGGAGACGCTGCCATGGTTAGAAACGGCTACTATCCTGTCTCAGAGACAGACTCCAACTTATGAGGCCCCGTGGTGATGTGTATGGGAAAGACATGTGGGTTTTTGGTTCCATCCTTGACTTGCTGCACCCTCACCTCCATTCCAAAGATCACTGCAGGGAAAGATCACCATTAAGTGTCACATCAGCGATTTTAAATTATAACAGATATGGAGGACTCAGGAGATAACAGGCATACAGTGTGTGGGGTTTGGCAGCGCCTGTACATTTCAGGGATGGCAGTAATGTAGAGAAGGATAAAGATAAATAAATTAAAAAGTCATTTATTTGAGTTTTAAAGGGACAAAGGCACTTTTTATTCAGGGACAAAAGTTATTAACTCTACTCAAACTGAAATCTATGAATACATTGGCATATATTCAACTCTGCATTTCACGGATGATTTAAATCAACTGATTCAAGGTCAGCTGAAATTTACGAGTCAGCCTTGGTAAAGTGTTACAATTTTATAATAGAGGTTGATGACGTTTTCATCTCAATCAAAGGTGGCAATTGTAGAGACAGACACACAGGTTCCCCCAAAAATTTATAATGAGGATAAAGTTTGTGTCAATGTAACACTAAGAAAATCAGTGATGGAACAGGTTCACCATTTGTTACCGCTACATGTCAGATATGTGTCCTTGTATATCTGACATTGCTTCGTGGCTACTTAGCCATATTTGTATCATATATTTTTATTATCATAAATGATTGGGGCAAAGTTTCCTTTTTGTATTTGCAAGAATTAAAATAAAATGTTGCGTTTCACATGAATGGGCTGTGTAATGAAAGGACATGTCAGTAAAAAGTATAATACTGTAGCACTGCTGTAGCTGTAGGACTAACATGACATATACAACGTAGGTTCATATTTTGTACTGTAACAGAATATGACTGTACAAATGTGAATCTTGTAAGTATGTTTTTAAATAAACATGCAACATTTCATGTTTTCTTGAATAATTGCTATGCAGTGCTGTATTAAATTCTGATAAACAAATTCTCTCCGAGTCCCCCAACTTTATGAAAGTACAATACTAAATTGCCGGAGTGCCTGACTGACTGATCATGACACTGTATGCTCATAATTGTGTTTGCTTGACACATTCATTATGGATTCTGATGGAGCACAGCAGGTGTTGACCTTGCAAAAGCATAGTTTGCATAAGGTGCCAACATGCTATCAGTGCTGTGTTTCCCATACTGGGGACCAGGCATCAACTTATACGACTTCCAGACTGTTCTCAGGAAAATGCAGAAACTATGCATTTTACTGTTTGGAAAAGGAAAAAACGTACAGTCTAATTTCTAGTCAGGATCTTGATGAAATGAGACTCTGCTTTAAAGTATTTTACCCCATTGAACTCACACAGTATGGGGCATAATACAGTAAAATTATTATACCGTAAAATTATCAAATGATATAATACCCCTGGCTGGACAAAGAGGTGTGTCGTTGATGAAGCCAGTTTCTTAGATATCAAGAAGCCACAATGATGGAGCAGTTTTAGAGCATTTTCTAGAATAATTTCACCGCTGGGTGTCACGCTTCTGCTGTACTGTCGGGTGAGCTGCTGATTGGCTGAAACAGCGGCGTCGCTCTCTCCGTGCCCCGGTGACGCCCCGCACTTTCCCACCATGCAGCGGGTGATGTCTGAGGAAAGATGGCGGAAGGAGGAGCGGCAGATCTGGATACCCAGAAAGGAGAGGTCGCGGCGCTGTTGAAAACACAGCTAAGAAAGGGGGACACTTGGTAAGACTTGAGCTGAAACCTTTTCAAAGATACCGCGTGGCCGTCGGCTGGCTCCGCCGAGGCTGTCAACGCCATGAAGGGTTAAGAAAGCTGAGGTGGCGGGCCGTGTTGACAGTTAGCTTCGATTTAGCTAACAGGAGCCTGTCAGCTTCATGTGTGTCAGCCTGGCATGCTAGCGGTGCTTGAGCTAACGCTAGACTGTCAATGAACAGCGGTAGTCCCCCACATATCGTTCAACGTTAAATGTCGTATTGTGGTGGTTATATTCGCTACTTCCATATGGTCATGTCGCTGTTCGTCTAATGACATAATCTCAATGAGGCTGCATTTTGTTTAATCTAATCTAATTAGCAGCGCTAATAGCTAATTGGCTAGCCTACCGGAGCACTAAGTGGTGTGCCAGCCAGAGGGTTCATCCGGCGCGACTTCGGCAGGGCGGAGTCGGAAAAGAAGCACCTGTCAAAAATCACAGAAACAGCTGGCCAGGCATGCAGCAACCTGAACTCAAGTCGGCTGTTACAACTATCAATCTGTGTTGTCTTAACCTCGTGGAGTCAGATTTGTTGAGAGCACTGACAGAAAGCCATCCTTCACCTGCTGAAGTATTTCTATTATCACCATTTAACCTCCAAAACCGATGGTTTACACCTCAAAGCTTGTTGCATGACCCTTGGACAATCTAGATTGATTATCAGTGTCCCATCTTGTATCATCAGAGCTGAAATCACAATACTGCTTGCCCTCTCTGTAGGTACCTGGTGGACAGTCACTGGTTCAAACAGTGGAAGAAATATGTGGGATTTGACAGTTGGGACAAATACCAGATGGGGGACCAGAACGTCTACCCAGGACCGGTTGATAACTCCGGTCTTCTCAGAGGTAAGACGGATGGCGCTTCGCCTCCTTCGGCATTAATTCACAATGTGGAATGTATTGTATATACTGTGTGGCACACCACGGACTGCCGGTCAGTACAGCTTTATTATTCTGGAAGTAGTAACAAAGAGTTCAGAGGAAAAGGGAACAAAAACAACATTGTTGACAGACTTCCATAGAGTAGCCTTTTGAGGGGGTTTATAGAAAGCTCTCCAGCATACCTTTTTTTTCTTTGTGCGTTTTGTGCCGTTTGAGACAGTCAGTGCTGGCTCACTGTTGTAACTGCTGCTCCACAGTGTGTCTGCTTGCTTGTTTCTCAACCTTGCTCTTATCCTGTCCTCACCTCTAGATGGGGATGTGCTGGCCATCAAGGAGCACCTCATCGATGAGCTCGACTACATCCTGGTCCCCACAGAGGGCTGGAATAAGCTCGTCAGCTGGTATGGGTTGACAGAGAATCAGGAGCCAATTGCACGGAAGGTGAGGGCTCAGTCATTAGCGTAAGGCTACCAATACATTTCATGGTTGGAGGATGTTCCGCTCACTGCGTTGAGAATATAACCAGCGGGGCAACGTAACACCAGCAAAGGCGGTTTTCTGTGGTGCAGTTTTGATGGTCGTGGTTAGTTATTGCTTTGGTGTTGAGCTTGTGTCGGGGTGAAACAGAGAAACGTGCGATTATGGCCATTTGAGATCGGGATATCAGGAGTGCGGCATAATGTTTAAAGAAACTCGAGGTCTGTAAAATAGTTACTCAACATAGAATAATAAAAGACAGCCAAATAATACTGGATAACTGCTCATTATACATCTTTAACTAAATGAATTGCATAAGACAGTCAAGCACAAAACGTAAGGAATGAAATACTTCAGGCTTGTGTGGCCATAAGACCTGCTGTAGTATGTATCTATTGGGTCACATGATTGGCCAGATGTGCAGAGATACACTGCACAGGAGCTGGTAACAGATAAAGAGGATACTGGATATTTACCTTGCATGAAAAGGAAGCAACGATTATGGTGTTTTTCCTTCATCTTTTCATTCGTTTCGGTCATGAGCTGCGATGATTTATTTTAGGTTTAATAACTACTTTCACAACCATGGTAGAGTGGAACAAACTACTAAATGGCTGTATGTGTGGTTACAGTCGATCAGTCAGAGGAATACTTCACGATGACGCCTACAACTTAACAGGACCTACGATATCAAATCCCCACTTCAAATCTCGCTAGTCATGGCATCATGGCTGCTAGAAGAGGTTCCTGTCCCCCCTTCATCTCTATCATTCTCTCTCTCGGCCTTTCTCTCTCCCCCCCTTCCATTGACCCTCCCATTTAGCCATGTATGTCGTGGGACGTATCGGGTGGCTACGGGGTTTCTATTTTCAGGCAACGTTCTGGATGACTGAAAAGCTACATGGAGCGATCTGCGAGACACAACATGCAGCAGGTTCATTATTAGTTTTCCTCTTCTTTTGAAGTCCTTGTTCCTTTTTTTCGGGGTTGCCATCTTGTGGTGCGGAGGGAACGCAAGCGTCTAAAAGGATTTAGGAGGCTTGTAGTCACAGGTTTGGCGCTACGTTTCCTTCCGTCGTCCTCCGCCGGTGTGATATGCCCGCAGCCGGCGAAGTGTTCCTCTGTGTCCTTGTTTTTTGAAGTGGAGGAATGCCGGCTGAGGTCACACTGAGCGAGGCAGCGTGAACGCTTCTGAGAGGAGTACGAGAGGCATACGCAGTATGGGAGGAGGAGGGGGGGGGGTGGGTGGAGTAAATGGTTTTGGGTCCGGCTCTGATTTGACAAATTCTGCCAGAGTTTGGCGATGAGTTGGGCTTTTGCCCTGAGTTTACAAACATACGGGTGTTGTGCTGAGGGGTAGGATGGGCCTACCGGGGGTTTCGGGGTATGGATAGTGGGGGAGAATCTGAGCCGAGTGAGTGTGCATGACTATTGCAGTTCTCAGGGACATTTGTGAAGTTGGTACTGTGTGTGTGTGTGTGTGTGTGTGTGTGTGTGTGTGTGTGTTGGAGGGGGCTCAGCGGTGAAATAAATAGGCAGGGACCCCTCAGCTGTTTCCACGACGTGCTGCTAATTTAGGCACTCCGACACCGCTCCTATCAGACGAGCAGCAACCAGGCCAGCAGACTGTACTTTGTTAACCATGAGAAACAGAAGCTAGTGCAACCCCAGAGAGAGAGATAGATATATATATATA